CATAATATAGTATATATCATAGTTCTAAAAACCGGCCGATATGCTACGTATCGGCCGATACATATCGGAAAAATAGGGCACTGCGACGGATACTGGTCGGTATACTGTTGAGATTGAAAATTGAAGGAGAATCGGTTGAGTCCCGGTACGTATCGGTCTGTAACCGTTACACAAGCTATTACACAAGCCGCGACGGGCCGATACTCACCTGTTCGGACCGGTATGGGAAAGAAAAAATTGAAAAACCTGTGAAATGATTTTTAAAATTTCACCGTCGCGACACCCGATTCCCGATAAGTACCGATACCGATACTCCGCAATCAATACCATTACGTTACCCGATACTGTGATTTAGAACTATAGTACATATATAAATTTTATTAATGTGTACCTTTAAAACAAGCGTTAAGAAGTTTAAAAATATTGTATGCTTACATAAAAGTGCATATAACAAACAATGTATAATTATTTTAAGTTTGCTTAACATATTCTTTAAAGGGCACACGTTAATAACACAACCCCGGCCCCATATATATATATATATATATATCCAACAAAAATGAGAGCAGTTGCTTTAATTTGACGTGCCATGAACTAGGAAAAGCGAAACAAATTTTGTTTTCAAGAACACAAACAATTAAAAAGGAATTTGACGTGGGCATTGATCTTAATTCATATATTACTCTCTTCTTGACTATATTCGTTTTGATTCTTTGTGTGCAGTTAAATGCATGTAATGAGTGGGTGGTTTGAAAAATCTCAAAAAGTGACATTTTTTTATTAAAAAAAATCTCTTTAATGATTTTTTTTTTTTTTTTAAATTGTGTCAATTTTTTTTTGACTCACCTTGTGTTGACAAATCTTAAAAGTTAAAATAAAATAAAACCAAAAACCAAAAACCAAAAATAAGCCTACTGTTTTTGAATTTTTTTTGTCATTTCTAAACTTTTTTTCTTTATTTTAAACTTAAAGAAAAAAATCACTAAAAAAAAAAAATCAAACCCAAATACCCAATCATACAACAAGAGCCAAGGAAGCAAAGTTGTGGATGAGGTAAGCTAGAGGGTTGGTGGGTATACTCTTCACACAATTGTTTAAGGTTCAATTCTTAAAGTTGAGCTACAAGAAAGAAATTTCTTGTGAATTTTCTAATCCTGACATGAATGGCCTGGCTTTGATCAGACCGGGAAAGGAATTAGTCGAGGAGCACGTAAGCTAGCTGGGACATTCCTTAAAAAATAGAAAAATAAAATAAAAAAAAATTGTGGATGAGGTAAAAGGGCAACGCCATAAAACGTAAGTGTTAAAATTCCAGATCTGATATAAAAGAAATACAAATGCACTCAATTTCATCATGCGTAACAGCCTATATATAACTGCATATTTCAAGCAGGTGCACACACATGCGGATATACATACTTTCTCTGGCCATCCTTAATGAAAACATAGATATTTTAATGCTTTATATTATCTAAATGATGTGTAACACAAAAAGTCAAGAACCAACTGGTTTACCCTTTTATTTCCTCTTTTTTGACAGCTCTCTTTTAGTTTTGACTAGTGAGAAATGGTCTTTTTCTGGGTTGTTTATTTTTACTAGGAAAGTAATTGTCCAGAATCTGCTCTAGCTAGGCTCTTTGCATCTGCCAAGAGAAGAGGAATGTTAGTGAATATGGTGCTTTTAGTCGCTGCTTGCAGAACTTGCCACCTGAAGGAGAGATTCAGGTAGACATGTCTCTTCTGCTTGGCTTCTCCAAATGTTTGTCACAGAGTTCAAGTATTTCTTCGTTTTAATAAATATTTAATGGTTCCAAAGGCTACTACTGCCTTTGAGGTCCAGAAGCTTCTGGTTTCTGGTAGAATAAGAGAGGCTTTACAATGTGCACAAGAAGGTCAATTGTGGGGGCCAGCCCTTGTTCTTGCAGCTCAACTTGGTGATCAGGTTGTTTGTTTGTTTTTTTCTCTCTTCCATTTGGTGTCCTCCAGACATATTTGGAATGACTCGGTCCCCAATTTATCAAGCGAGTCCATATGTATGGAGAAAGACGTCAGTGTATTTTTATTTGAGGCTAACACTCTCATCTTTCTTTTGAATTTATTCAGTTTTATGGTGCTACTGTGAAACAAATGGCACTTCGCCAGTTAATAGTGGGATCCCCTTTGCACACATTATGCCTGCTAATTGCAGGGCAACATGCAGTTGTCTTTTCCGATACGAGTAGTAGCAGTCTGCTTGGTGCTGTAATATCTCAACATTCTTCTTAGGTGACATCTTAGCTCGAAACTATTGCTGAAAACTTGAAAAGACATCTTAGTTACTTGCCAATGTTTTTTTTCCTTTTTTCTTTTTTCATTCCATTTGATCTTATTTATGTCATTACTATCACTTTTAGTTCCAACTCTACTCTGAAAGGCTTATATCTCAACTACGCTTCAATTTATTACTGCACAAGCAGTGTCTTTTTCAGTCCCTTTTTTGGACTCCAAATGCAACAATCCATCCATACGACTGATTATTAGCCATAACCATGCATTCTCATGAAGATTGATACATGTTTACTGAGAATAGGTTATCAAGTTGATGCTAATACTCTGGAAACATAAATTCTGAACGTTTCCACGTATGTCTTGGGATAGCGTTCTTTTGTCTGTGTGTGTGGAATAGAAATGACGTCTCAGTGGGGTTGTCTTGGGATAGCGTTCTTTTGTCTGTGTGTGTGGAATAGAAATGACGTCTCAGTGGGGTTGAGGAAAAAACATTAAGTATTCAACAGGAGAAGGGATTTATTTTTTCAAGAGTGGGGCTGGATCCTTATTTTGGGTTTGGTTTACAATCTTAGCGTAAGTGAGCCTTAATTCATTAGAGTGGTATAGGTATTTTTTTTGTTTTTCCCTTTTGCTCGGCTGCAGTGGTATAAGCTTGGGAATTGGAGGCAGAGGATTCGAGCTCCTACATGGGATGGATCCTAGAGAAATGGAAGATGTGATGAAGTGGAAGGAAACAAATGAAAAATTCTCAATTACATTCTTTCATTCTCTCTTTTTGGGTAGCATGGGTTGTAAATTTCCATGGAGTAGCATTTGGAAGATGGGAGTTCCTATAAAGTGTCTTTTTTTGTTTACTATCCTTGTTGACAATTTGGGGAAGAGGGGTTTTTTGCTCCCTAATTGGTGATGCTGGTGCAAGAAAGCCAAGGAATTAGTGTGGATCATTTACTTCAGAATGAGTTGGTTAGGGATTTGGGGAATGTTATTTTCTACTTCTGGAATACAGTAGGTCATGCTTAGATTAATCCTCTAGTTATACGAGTGTTGCGTAGGTGAGTGTCACTTCCAGAGGCTGGGAAAAGTATGGATGCTGGCACTTATGTGCTTGATGTAGCATGTAGAGGGCGAGGAATCCGCATACTAGGCTAAAGATGTCTTCCCTTCAAAGTTTTCATTCTTGGCTTATCTTCCTTTGCTTTTGTAGATTTTATAGGTGAACTCAACTCTTTGGATGTTTTTTTTATTTTTTTATCTTGACTTGTGCACACCTATTGTACAATGGTTGGCACCTTTAGTGGATATATTTTACCTATGTAAAAAAGAGGAAAAGGAGGCCAAAGGAAGCAGCATTTTGAATTTTTGGGTTGGAACTTGAATAAGAGTACCTTGAGGGTTGGAACTCGATTTCCATAGGTCTATGGTAGATATGCCTTGAAAAAAGTAAAGGGCCTGTACTTACCTTACATTGGAGAAGCAAATTTGTTAAAACAGTTAAAGCAAATTTGCTTAATTTGGAGAAGCAAATTTGTGACCACACTAGTGAGCTTAGCTGCCATACTTGATGGTGTATACGCCTGTGGGTTTTAAGCTTTTTGTATCTATTTATTTAAACAAAATGGTTCCATGAATGGAGAGAATCAAAGAGAAAGAGAGAAATGGAGAGATAAGTGCAATACTTAACACATGACTTGTTTGAGATCCATACTTAAAACAATAGAAGAGTTTATCATTTATTCATTAACCTAAGAAAACCATTCTTTAACTTGTAACTGCATCATAAGAGCATCTCCAATGGTAGTAGGCATTTTACCTATCTAAATATTACTATAAAGTATATATTTTATTTTGCCTATCAACTGTTTTATGTTTTTACTCCAACCATGCTCTTTATTTTAGCTATTAATCCAAATACTATTAATTTTATAGAATGCCACGTCAACAACAAAGATGGAGGGAAATGATCCTAATGATTGAGTACATTTTGCCTAGCGTTGAAGGCTAGCTACATGTAGCTAGTGAATATGAGTTGAGCCAAAATGCCTAATCATATGCCTAGTGCATTGGAATTGAAAAAGGTGAATCACACTAGGCATTTTAACTAACAAGTATTATATGCCTAGTGCATTGAAGATGCTCTAAATCAAGGGATTTCATAATAAATTCTTGAAATTTTTTAAGACCAAATTGACCTTCTGCAGAATATAGATTGATTCACTCAATTTTCATTCAAATTAGTCTTAAATTCCACCATAAGAAAAAGGCTGGAAGTTACTAATAGACATGATCACAACCCAAGAATAGGCTTCTAACCCAACTCAAATTTGAATTTTTTCAATATGGGAACTCTACCTTACGTAACAGATCTATAAAACTATAAACATCTAGATGAAAAAATTTGAGGAAATAAATCTTCCAAACCACTATAATGGATCAACAAATTTTAGTCAAGATTGCTGTGTGATTGGGTGGTTTTTATTTTATTTTTTAGTCTCTATTGCTTTGTTTTGGATTGGTCTCTCGCCAATCTGTGGGTGTAGTGCTAGCAGATGATTGTGCTTCCTCCTTGGTGCCAACCTAGTTGGGATTGTAGAGTGTTTGCTATGATGCTTTTTGCACTTCCCTCCTTTATTGATGTATTTTGTTGCTTGTTTTGGCTCATTTCATCAATAAAGTATCCCTTTTTTGCTGATCAAAAAAATATAAAAAACCATAAGTAACTCCTTGATTTTTAGATCATAATAATAATATTATTAAATTCTTCGTAGCTTACATCCATTTCATAATAAAATTTGTGAAAAATAATGACATAGTTAAAATACATCAAGGTGGTTGTTAAACACTCTCTTTCTCCTTGATCTTCCCCAAAAGAATGACATATCCATATTACAACCACATTGTTACCAAATACCAACTAATAACATTTGTAGTTCAAAGAGCTAGAGAGAGAGATTACATCTTTCAAGACAAGGTCTTGATCACAAAAGAAAGTACTATCCAGACAATTTAGCTCAAAAGCTATAACAAATAGAGTGTCTGTGCTCCACCAAAATGTCCCATCTTCAACTCAATGGGGTGGGACTCCATCATCTTGACCTAAAATTGTTATTTTGATAGGAATTAGCAAAATAGCCCAGTAAAAATTCATTTAACGGAGTACATGGATATTTGATATAAATATGATCATGCTCATGCGATGTAATTGTAAAATCTATCCTTTTCTTTTTACAAATAAAATGATTCTCTTGCACTTTTATTCAAAATCAATCAACCTCAAGTACAGGGTGGTAAATGTGCACCAGAAAATCCAAAGTAAGAGCCAAATACATATAGATAGGATTTATACATAAAAAATAGTCTCACATTTACCGAATCAATACGGAAAGACATTTGGGCACTTAAAATCAACACTTTTCCCACATGCTCTAGCATCAAGCCTGGAAAGGCAATTTGGGTAGCTAAAAAACATTTTTTCCCACATTTATCCGGCATCAAGCCCGAGACGTGCTAATCTTTGCTAACATACCCTGACCTCTATGTATGAAATACATGGATTCCATTGCACAAATTAGACTATTCAAAACTCATAAAACAATAAAATGTGTGTTCGTTATATAGACTGGCTTAAATGCATGAGTTCCATATAGAACAATTCACTAACATAATACTTAAGACTTTTTGAATTAATTAAGGTGTGAGAAAAAGAAAAGCAAAAAAAGAACCACATCCTACATTTGAATCTCACCCAATGTATAATGATTTATGAGCAAGTCCATACCATATCCAAATAAAACCAGAATTGGTCTAAGTCACATGGTGCCCTATCACCGTCAGAGAAAGCATTTAAGGATAGAATGTGATTCAAATTAGCACTTACCTAGTTGATCACACCCTTCCCTCTTCAGTGCACTCTTCTTCCAAGTCGGTATTATCAACGATTCGCAAGTAGGAATCGGATGATGGGCTTTCTTGACCATCAGTGACTACCTGAGTTGCACAATGAATCAAAAGAATTTATAATTTTTCAAATATACATAGTATTTCATCAAAATTACTATGAAAAATATGCAATATTGTCACAAGAGTAGAGAAGCTATTTATTGAACAATTAAAAATAAAACTAGTAGTGTTTAGATCATGAACTTCAGTAGGAATTTGAAAAAGAAAAGAGAAAAAGTAGCAAGAAATGTGAATACAATATGTTAATTTTTTTCACTATTTCATTTTTCATTTTCTTTTCCAAATTTCTATCCAGATATACAAGCACAACTTAAATATAAAATACATATTTAAAAAAAAAATGAATCTAATTGAATAAGTAAAGTTCACACAGAATATTGACAAGCAAATCATACCTTAATTTACTTTTTTTTCCGACTCCACTCATGCCATCAAAATTTTCATAGTTCCAAGTAAACCTATTTTGTTACCAAAAAAAAAAACATTTACTCTTGTTTCCAAGCATTAGAAAATATTTAGAATGACAAATTACACCAATAGCCCCTACATTTTGTCTCTCATATCATTATGGTCTCAACACTTTTAATCGACTCACTTTTGACCCTTAATTTTAGAAATTTGTTTTTATCAATTTGGCTCAATTGATAATACTGTTAATATTTTTTATGAAAAATTAACACTGAATTGGCTGGTGTTAACTCATTCAGTTGAGTAAAGTTATAATTTTGGTATTAAAAATATAACACATGCCAAGAATTGTAATCAATTGAGCCAAATTGACATAAATTCATGATAAAAATCAAGTCAATTGAAATTAGAGGGACTAAAGTAGAGAGATCATAATTTGCCCTATTTAGAACATAAAACAACAGCAAATCCAAATACTGAAACCTGGATCTTAGAAAAATTACCTGAAGACTGAGGAGGCATGGCTCTCACTCCTCTTCAGTCCCAAACCCTTTAAATGATGAAACCAACGGAATCAAGAATGGGTCAAAGTTCCAAAAACCTACCAATCAATTTTAAAAAATATCCATGAAAAACCATTTTTTAATATGAAAATTAAATTTTACAATCCGAATGAATAAAAAATTAAAAAAAAAAACATTGGAAAATAACCAGATCAATTTAAAAAAGAAAAAGAAAAAGAAATACACAGATGTTTATCCATGAACTCAACACATGGGGTAAAGGATCTCAATCTTTAAAATGATAGAAAAAACCTAAATACTTACTCGAAAACAAAGAACAAATTTTCTTGTTCCTCTTGAATCCTAACCCAATTGTTCAAACCCTGGGGTTTTTTTTCCCACCGATATGACAAAATGGAAGAACAATAAAGTAACGAGATAAATTTGTCAATAAAATTTGATTTTGCGGATTATGTGGGCAACTTTGATTTATATATAGCTTAGAATATCTCAGTACACACTAACTAGTGCTAAGTTCACAGAAAATACAAATTTAATTTTCTATTTTTTTTTCTCAATTCATATTAACAATTTTTAAATAATATTCTTTAGCTTTATCAATTTTAAACATTTAACTTTAACCCTAGCCATCATCTCTAGTCCTCGTTACCGTCATCAGGGCCGGCCTTGGACATAAGCTTATCAGGCCATGGCTTAGAAACCTTCAAAATACACCAAAAAAGCGGCCTCTTCTATTGTAGTTTAGTGTAATATATAAAGTATATTTTAAGTTCAAACAAAATTAAAGAAAGTCCAAACAAAATTAAAGAAGGTCCAAACTAATTTAAAATAAATTGGCTCATTGAAAAATTAAAAGGCCCATTCAAAATTAAAAGGGCCCACTCTCTCTCCCTATCTAATTCATACCCTTAACTCTTTTGATACAATCTTTTATCATTTACCTTCAAAAAAAATTTTGGTTGAAAAAAAAAAAAATGTGAAGAACCTCAAATGATCTAGTGATATTTATTAGTTCATTATTGGCTTTGGGCCCCGAAAATCTCAGGGCCGGGCCGTCACCGTTGGCAACCCTATCATCCCCTCTCGATATCGCCATCTTTTGCCCTTCAACCACCGATACCTTCCTATTTTATATGAATTTCTATTTCTCTATTTGTATGTAAAGTGAGGTCGCAAGAGGTAGGGGTTGTACATTGTAAAGTGAGAAAACTCTCAGAGAGTACATCGTAGAGGTGAGGCAATGGAAGTTGTGCTTCGCAAGGGTGGAGGGATCGTAAAAGTAGTGGGTCAACAGTAGTGGAGTTGCATTAATGATGGTTATAGGGTGACAAGGCATATGGGCTAAGGGTGACGACAGAAAAAATAATTTTGAATAAACATATTTGTAATTATATAATAAAAATAATTCATGTATATATGAAATAATAATTTAACTAAATTGTTTATGTACAGATAAAATTATTGGGGCATTTACTAATAAATCATATATTCATGGCTTATAGACCATAATTCCATAAATATTCTTATAAACCCATAAGTATTATCTCACATTAAAATCTTTCAAATGCAACATACTCACATTTGGAAATGTAATAAGACAATAGCACATACATTAGAATGATGTCATATTGTCACATTTGACAAAAGTTTAATAAGACAATAATGCACAGATATCCTATTGTCACGATTTAAGACTAATGACACATTTTGGTAAAAATTTAATAAAATAATAATTCACATTAGAATAATATCACATTGTCACATTTTAAGAATGATACATTTTACAAAAATTTAATAAGATATTATAGAAATGTCTCATTGTAATATTTTAAGAAAAATGACACATGTAGTAAAAATTTAATAAGATAATAGTGCACACATTATAATATGTTACATTGTCACATTTTAATAATGATATATTTGACAAAAACTTAATAACACAATAATGTACAAATGAAGTATACCTGCATTTGAAATCTCTAAGAAATATAGTAAAAGGTATCTTTTTCAAATTCAATGGGACTAAATAGACAATAAGAAAATTCATGAAATTTTCCGGTACATATTTTTCTAGGAAGAGACTTCTAAATAAATTTTCCAAATACGTAAAAAACAATCTTAATCCTATATATATATAACATGTTATGAAAACGTAAATTGCATTTCCATATATAGATAGATTTTCACTAATTATCCCTCATACATTTTTTGAGATCTTTATCTTAAATCTCTCAAGGGAAATGATTTGGAGCCCTAAAAAAGCCCCTCCTAATCCCTCTAATCCCCAAAACGACGTCGTTTTGGGGAAATTTTATTTATTTATTTATTTTTTTGCCTTGGTCTCAATTTTCGGGGGATTAGGGCTCCCCAAATCAGGGGGATGTAGCACGGCCCATCTCTCAAATATTCAATTCTTGATTCACCTTTCCTTTAATTTTATTTCCTCTAATATCTTTTGAAAGACAATTTATGTTATATTTATTACCTCTATAAATTACAATCTAGCATTCAGCATGTGAATTAAATGTCCTAACACTTAGGTCATGTTTGTTTAGTGGGGTTGGACACTAGATTGGATTAGTGTGGGTGTGGGTGTGGGTCCCACCCACACCTTGTTTGGTGATGATTTGGGAGGGGGGGATTAACAGTGTGAGGGGCTTAGTAATCCCCCTTAGGAGGGGGATTAGCTTGGTTGGATTTTAAGTAGGATTAGAAAAATAGTAAGTGGATTAAGTTTATATTATATTAAAAAATTTATTTTTTTAATGGTATTTTTTTTATCAATTGCACATGTTTGTTTTAATATTTGTTTTAGTTTTTTTAATATAGAAATAATTTTTTTATTTATTTTATAGAAAAATAATTTAACAATCCCATCAGTAATCATCTCTCACACTATCATCAAAACAAACACACTTTTAGTTGATCCCCACATTAACAATTTATTCACTAACCATCATCTCATTAACATACTCATCTAACCTAATCCACCAAATAAATATGGCCTTAGTGGGTTGGCAACTCAAATTCATGAATAGAAAGTTGAACAAATGATGTGAATGCAACTTTAGATTTACCCTTTTATGATAGGATCTTAGAATGATTTTTGAAAAGGAGATTTTGGCCAAATGCCCGTCGTCAACAAAATTTCATAGACATAAGACATCATTTTGATGTTTGGCAGATAGAAGCACACAACTTATAACTCATTCACAAAAATATTCTTTTATTTTTTAAAATTTTAAAGGGCAAGTTATACCACTAGTTCTTGTATTTTGATCCTTATATTATTTTAGTTTCTATAGTTTCAATTGACCAAATTTTGGCCCGGGAATTTTTACTTTATTTCAAATTGGTCTAATTCATTCCAATTGTTAACATTTTTTTTTAAATGACAAATGCACACATAAGCGTCACGCGTCATGTTTTTAGTTATAAAATTATAAACTTAATCAATTTAGTGACTTAAGCTCAACCAATTCAATGATAATTTTTCATTCAAAATCCTAACAGTGCTATCAATTAAACTAAATTGACACAAAATTTAAAATGAAATTAATAAATTGAGTCAATTGAAATTGTAGGTACCAAAATAACACTATCAACAAAATAAAAAAATTATTGGTGTAATTTGCCTTGTTTTAAAATTTCATAATTTTTTATGCATGTATTGATTATGTTATAAAATTAATAATTTTAGAATCTTTACATTAAGATCTATTAAATAAGATTCATTTTAACAATGAAACTCTATTAAAAAAAGAAAAAAAAAAGTAAAAATTTTAGGATTAGATTTCTCTTATATTCGCATTTCAACATAAAAGAACTTAAGGGGCCCATAAGGATCATCACGAGTCTCGTTTCGATAATCCGAACTGTTCATTTTTGTAGGGCCTCAATGTTTATCGTCCGTAAAAAATTTATGTCGATTTAATAATTATAACATTTTCATATTATCATGTTTCTCTCGAAAAAATGAATGGTATACATTTTCAAAAATGCATTTGTTGTCTATTTTTCATGGACAATTGTGATAAAATAAAAATGTTATGATTATCGGATCGAATTAGTTTTTTTCATGGATAATATACATTGAGAACTCTACAAGTTAACTGTTTAGATCATTAAAATGGGACTTGTGATGGGTTTCACAAACCTCTTAAATTATCTCATGTTGAGATATAAATACGAGAGAAATCAAATCAAAATTTTACTGTATGGTTTTAGTGTCAAAACACCATGTTCACTATGACGGTTACTCTCACTAGCAAAAATATTAAAGAAATTTTTTATTTAAAGTGTAAAATTGAATTGTATTAACAATGCAAAATTTTATTACGTTATAATATATATTTATATATATAAGAATCGCTTAATTGCTTGATGTTTGTCTCTTTTTTTTTTTTTTAATTTTATTCTTTCATTTCGAATAATTTACTAATGGTGGCCTATATATTGAGTGTAGATTTTTCATAATTACGCAAACATTCTTAATCCAATTATTATATTTGTTTGGGATAATTTAAAGTGTA